GCCCTTCCTTGCCCTGCCCTGTCATGCTCTGCCATGCCATGCCATGCTGTGCCATACCATGCCATGCCATGCCATGCCATGCCATGCATGCCATGTATGCCTTGCCTGCCTTGCCCTGCCATGCCCTTTCCCCGCCCTGCCCTGCCATGTTATGTCATGTCCAGTCATGCCATGGCGTGCCATGCCATCCCAGATCATAATACCCGGGCCAGCAGAGCCCCACGCACCCAGGTATAGATGTGGGTAGCTGCCCACCCAATGTAATTCCATGTCATGCCATGCCATGCTATGCTATGCCATACCATGCCATGCCATGCCATACCATGCCATGCCATGCCATGCCATGCGTGCCAGAGCCCCACGCACCCAGTTGTAGATGTGGGTGCGCTGGCCATCGACATCCCTGAAGGGACCCGCCCATCCTGTGAGCAGCTGTAGCAGCAGCACTCCCACACTGGCGAACGCAGGGTAGAATTGGAAATAGGTCAGAAGGGGTGGAGATGGGAAGAGGGAAGGGAGAAAGGAGGTGGAGAGGGGGAGGGGAGAGGTTGGAGAGGAGGGAGAGGGAGGATGGCATTTGGTGCAGGTGGGTGAGGGGGAGTGGTACACACACCACCTCTCAATCCTCTCAGCCAGGCAACGCTTTGAAAGAGTTGGATTGCAGGTGGAGAGGCACGTACGGTAAAGCCCTACCTGTGGATGTGATTGATGGGTGGGATTAAAGCCCTACCTCTACATGTCCCTGATTAAAGCCCCACCTGTACATGTCACTGGTGGGAGTGGCAATGCCGGTGCGCACAACAGCCGGGTCCACATGCCCCTCCGTGCACCGCAGCAAATACACCTTGTGCCCTCGTCCGCTGCCACTGCTATTGGACCGCCATGAATACCCACTGCCTCCACTCTTGTAACTGCTGCTACCCTTGTTAGTGCTGCTGCTGCTGCTGTTGCTGTTGCTGTTGCTGTTGCTGTTGCTGTTGCTGTTGCTCTTGCTCTTGCTGCTGCTGTTGCTGCTGCTGCTATTGTTGTTGTTGCTGCTGCTGCTGCTGTTGCTGCTACTGCTGATGTCTCTCCTGCTCCCCCTCCCACTAGCGAAAAAGCCTTCCCTCGGCACTCTCCCCTCCAAGGCATCGCCCATGTCCACGTGCACTCGCCGCCCCATGCGCACCACACTCCAGTCGCCCACACGTGGCTGGGAGTAGGGGGGGAGGGGGAGAGAGGAAAGGAGGTCGAGGAGAGGAATGAGACAAGGGGAGGGATGTGCAGGCGGGCAAGGGGTGGGGCTTGATGTGAGCCTGGATGGGGCATGGCACTGCCACGTTGACTCGAAGGAAGCACGCACCTCAAAGGAGATCGAGGAGAGGAATGAGACAAGGGGAGGGATGTGCAGGCAGGCAAGGGGTGGGGCTTGATGCGAGCCCGGATGGGGCATGGCACTATCATGCTGACTAGGAGGCTCAATAGGGCATGCTAGCAGGGCGGGAATCAGAAGGGCACTCACCTCAAAAGAAGCGCCGAGCAGCACGTTGGAGGGCTTGAGGTCGCCATGCACCTGCCCGTGGCTCTGCACTGCCTTGAGCGCCCTCAGCACGCCCACTGCCACACCCACCGCTGCTGCAGTGACAATGGCGTCGCGCCTGCCAGAGCGGGTGATGGGATGGATGGACACGATAAAGAGTCGGTGCGATGGGGCAGGCGTGAGGTTTTTACAAAGCAAGCCTGCACAAACTTGCTACAAAAAAACAGTTTGCTAAAAGCTGCTGCTGCCACGCATAGACCATGGGTCCTGTCTGGGGCTCGGTTGAACAATCTGGGCTGCCAGGTCTCAGATTCTCTTGCAGTTGAGCCATTCTCTTGCAGTTGAACCATTCTCTTGCAGTTGAACCATTCTCTTGCAGTTGAACCATTCTCTTGCAGTTGAACCATTCTCTTGCAGTTGAACCATTCTCTTGCAGTTGAACCATTCTCTTGCAGTTGAACCATTCTCTTGCAGTTGAACCATTCTCTTGCAGTTGAACCATTCTCTTGCAGTTGAACCATTCTCTTGCAGTTGAACCATTCTCTTGCAGTTGAACCATTCTCTTGCAGTTGAACCATTCTCTTGCAGTTGAACCATTCTCTTGCAGTTGAACCATTCTCTTGCAGTTGAACCATTCTCTTGCAGTTGAACCATTCTCTTGCAGTTGAACCATTCTCTTGCAGTTGAACCATTCTCTTGCAGTTGAACCATTCTCTTGCAGTTGAACCATTCTCTTGCAGTTGAACCATTCTCTTGCAGTTGAACCATTCCTTCCCTTCTCCTCCTCAACCCAACTAAGATCGAGTGCCTTCCATTTGACATTTCAATTCAAGCTTCTTTTCCAACACGATGGTGCGCATTCATCTTAACACGATGGTACGATGGCACGCACCTGGCTGCAGTGCTGCCTGCAGGCTGCCGCGCTCCATCCACTTGTACACCAACACCATCTCATTCCCCCCCTTCCGCCCACTCCCTCCCTTCTCCCCCTCCTCCTGTAATGGGCAGCAGCACCACCCCACGAGCCCCAGCACGTTGGGGTGGCCAAGGCGCGCCAAGCCCGCCACATGAGCCTCAAACTCTGCCCTCGCCGCCCCATGCGCCCCTCCCCACATGCGCTTCACTGCCCACCTCTCCCCGGCCTTCCCCCTTTCCACACCTTTGCCCCTGGCAACTGCTTGCCTTGAGACCCTTCCCCCTTGTCACTCCCCTCCTTTTTCTTCTTCAATCCCCCCAAAAAATCTCCGCTTTGCCGCTTCTTCTTTCCTGTTCCTTCCGCATCCTTCCCCCCATCTTTCCCCCCATCCTTCCCCCCATCCTCCCCCCCATGCTTCTCCCCATCCCCCCCTTCCACCTCCTCCAACCACTCCCCCCGGTACACGTCGCTCCACCTGCCTCCCCCCACAAGCCGCCCCTCCGCCCACCCATCAGTGGCTCTCAGGATGTCCGGCAGGGGGATGTGCAGACAGGCGGGTGTGCGCTTTAGCATGGGCGCAGCTGGAAGGGGGAAGGGGGAAGGGGTAAGGGCAGGAAAAAAATTAGGTGGGAAAATTATTGGGGGGAACGAGCGGGGAAAATTCGTGAGAAAGAAGCAGAGGAGTGATGTGAACTTGGCTCATTGTTGGTTTGTTTGTTTGTTTGTTTGTTTGTTGGTTTGTTTGTTTGTTTGTTGGTTTGTTTGTTTGTTTGTTTGTTTGTTTGTTTGTTTGTTTGTTTGTTTTTCTCACAAGTTGAGGGAGCAAGGGGCGTTTGGTGACAAAGGGGGGGTGAGAAGGCAGGAGAGGAAGAGAGCGGTGGAGGAATGAGGAAGAGGGAAAAAAACGCCCCACACACTCACACAACGTTCCGAACCACGCACACCGCATGCAGACACGTTGCATTCAAAGCCTCAACCATCATGACATCATGCCATCATGCCATCATGCCATCATGCCATCATGCAATCCTCTCTTCATGCCAAATATGTTCAGAATCTCTCCTTTCTCCCTCTCCCCTCCCCACTCACTCAAATCCTCCCCCGACTGCTCCTCCCCCTTGCTCCCCTTCCGCCCCTTCCTCCACCTCCATACCCCCCATCCCACCGCCACCACCATCAGCAGCAGCACCACTGCACCCGCTGCTGCCCCCACAATCGCGGACAGTGGGAGGGAGGAAGGCGGAGGGGGAGGAGGGGAGGGGGGGGCGAGGAGGACGGTGACGGTGGGGGGAGGAGGTGGGGGGGAGGGGGATGGCGGAGCAGGGGGCGGAGAAGGGGGAGGCGGACTGGGGATTGGTGCTGGGGGGAGGGGGGTTGGGATGGGGGAAATAAAGGAAGGGTGGGTGGATGGGATGTGATGGAGATGAGGAATGGAAGGGGAGGATGAGAGGAATTCGCGGGGAATGCTGGAGAGAAATTTTGCGGAATGTGAGAGATACATTTGTAGCATCTTCTAGTCGACTAAAAACCGGAAGAGAATGGCAAGGGCAGGTCCATGGCTGATGTGTTGTGATCGTTGCAGTGCAGTGCGCGGTACTTGGCTGATTTTTTAGGCGACTCATCACACAAAAATCGAAAGAGCATGGCAGGGGCGCGTAGTACACCCTAAAACGCGGCAGTGCAAGTTGCATGATTGGGGTGATCCTGACCGTTGATTGGGATACAGGTGGAGCAGAACGCCGAACAGAAGTTGCAAAACGTGGATGAACGGTTCTGATTGATTTCACAGCTGCTGCTGACGGGTGGGCAAGGCAACCCCAGATTCTCACTGAGAGAGTGAGCATGGGCCGGTGGATGGTACAGGGGCGGTGGATGGTACAGGGGCGGTGGATGGTACAGGGGCGGTGGATGGTACAGGGGCGGTGGATGGTACAGGGGCGGCATGAGGAGCAGAAGAAGAAATAAGTGACATTCACCCGTGGCCTGCCCTGCATGCGCTTCTCTAAACGCATTCCAAGTGTACTTCAATCAAGAGGGACACTCTACTCAATAGATCTTCACATCTTATCAAACATATACAGCCATGATGGGTTGTGGAACGAGACAGTTGCGAGGGGGTGAAGGAGAAACAAAGGGTTGCAGGGGAATGATTGAAGGGGGAGGAGGAAATCACACAAGGAGTCAAGATTTAGGGTTCCATAAGCGACGGGAATGGTTCCGTTGATCTTCGTGTTGATCACGCCACTGAGAGGGATGAGGTTGTGACACGGAGAAAGCACAGGGCGGAAGAGAAGAGAAAGACAGAACGGGAGGGAAGATGCGGGTTGAAGCAGCAATCGTTAAGTTGTAAGGGATGGCAGCAGGCTGAGATGGTAGATAATAGAGACGGAATGACTTGGAGACGCAGAAGAACGGCACAAAGCGTGCAGAGGGGCAGTGAGAGGTGCATGGAGGGATGAACGAGGGGCAGAGAGGGTGGGGAAGGGCGAAGAGGGTGGGGAGGCAGGGGAGGGGCGCACAGGTTGGTGAGTCGCGTTAGGGCAGTGAGGAAGCGAGGCAGCTCGCCTGAAATGTTTGTGCCGTCCAACGTACTGGGGGAGGAGGGGGCGAGAGGGGGACGAGGATAGGGGATGAGGCAGACGGGAGAGGGAGATGTGATGTGAGATGTGAGATGGAAAGCAAAGAAGGGATGCGGAAGGTGTCATAGCGGCATAGGCAGTGGCACGGGATAGAACATGAGCTTGTGGAGGGGCGAGAGCGAGGAGAGGTGGAGGGACAGAGAGTGTTGATCGTGAAAGAGAGGAGGGAGAACGAGGAGAAGGCGGAGAGAAGAGGTGGGGAGGGACCCTAAACAAGAGATCCGAGGGCCAGTGGCAGAGGCAGACAAGAGTGAGATGGTGGGGAGATGGTGGGGAGATGGTGGGGTGATGGTGGGGTGATGGTGGGGTGATAGTGGGGTGCATGAGAGGGGGGACAACAGGTGCTATAGGAGGTGGTGCAAGGCAGAGTGGTGAGAGGTGGTGCAGAGGGGCGAAGTGTCAACTTGAAACAGGGAGGAGAAGGGGAAGAGCTGACAGGTATGGGAGGAGAAGCGGGGGAGAGGAGCGGGCAGGTGTGGGGGAGGAGCGGGCAGGTGTGTGGGAGGAGCGGGCAGGTGTGGGAGAGGAGCGGGCAGGTGTGGGAGAGGAGCGGGCAGGTGTGGGGGAGGAGCGGGCAGGTGTGGGAGAGGAGCGGGCAGGTGTGGGAGAGGAGCGGGCAGGTGTGGGAGAGGAGCGGGCAGGTGTGGGGGAGGAGCGGGCAGGTGTGGGGGAGGAGCGGGCAGGTGTGGGGGAGGAGCGGGCAGGTGTGGGGGAGGAGCGGGCAGGTGTGGGAGAGGAGCGGGCAGGTGTGGGGGAGGAGCGGGCAGGTGTGGGAGAGGAGCGGGCAGGTGTGGGAGAGGAGCGGGCAGGTGTGGGAGAGGAGCGGGCAGGTGTGGGGGAGGAGCGGGCAGGTGTGGGGGAGGAGCGGGCAGGTGTGGGGGAGGAGCGGGCAGGTGTGGGAGAGGAGCGGGCAGGTGTGGGGAGGAGCGGGCAGGTGTGGGAGAGGAGCGGGCAGGTGTGGGAGGAGCGGGCAGGTGTGGGGGAGGAGCGGGCAGGTGTGGGGGAGGAGCGGGCAGGTGTGGGGGAGGAGCGGGCAGGTGTGGGGGAGGAGCGGGCAGGTGTGGGGGAGGAGCGGGCAGGTGTGGGGGAGGAGCGGGCAGGTGTGGGGGAGGAGCGGGCAGGTGTGGGGGAGGAGCGGGCAGGTGTGGGAGAGGAGCGGGCAGGTGTGGGGGAGGAGCGGGCAGGTGTGGGGGAGGAGCGGGCAGGTGTGGGGGAGGAGCGGGCAGGTGTGGGGGAGGAGCGGGCAGGTGTGGGGGAGGAGCGGGCAGGTGTGGGGGAGGAGCGGGCAGGTGTGGGGGAGGAGGGGGGGCGTGAGCGGTTAGCGCTGACAGCTCTTTGAGCGTGGTGAGGCGAGAGAGGGCGCGCGGCAGTGAACCCGAGAGTAGGGGGTTCTGACCCAGGGACCTGCCATGCAGTGCAGCGCAGTGCGTGTGGGACGAGGAGGGCAGAGCAGGTGGTTGGAGCGGGGAGGGGGGTTGGTAGGGGCGCGGAGTGGGGGTGGTAGGGGCGGGGGGGGGGGGGATGGAAGGCAGGGGTGAGGAAGGGAGAGTGGAAGTGGTGAGAACCATTGCCCGAGCAGTTCTTCTTCTGCTCATCGGAGATTCGCGTTCAGACGTCTAAGAATAGCATTCGGCCTTGTTAAATTGGCATTGAGCCGTTGTACATGACCACCACAACCGCAACACCGAGAGCAGCAGAGGGGCGCAGCCAAGCAATAGGAGGAAGGGCGACATTCCCGCTTGTCACGCACACACACTTGTATGTACCTCTTTTTTTTTTTTTTTTTTTTTTTGGGGGGGGGGGGGGGGTTCAAAAAGTAAGACAAAATAAAAATGAGTACATTAGGAAGGGTTGTATGTGCAACTAACAGGTATACGAGGCGGGAGAGGGCAGTTATGGTGCTGGGGATGCTTCCTGAGATGTTGTTGCCCGTTGCGTCGCTGATGGTGTCAATGACACATGCAATGCAAGCATGTGCATACGATACAAGGGACGTGTGGCACACACACACGCATTGCCTGATGAACAGCTGACGGTGCCAGTGCCACATGCGAGCATGCAGGCATGTGCATAGTACATACAAGGGCAGGGCAGTAAATTCATAAATTCATATGCAAGCAATGGGGCATACGCATGCGATGAGAGGGGAGAGAGAGAGAGGAGGCAAGTGCTGCAGTGATGGCATGGCAAGCATGTGAGAGTGCACATCACAAAGCACGGAGCATGTGCACTGCGATAGTCACTTATGGTCAACTTGCAGTCAACTTGCAGTCAATTTGCTGTCAACTTGCAGTCAACTTGCAGTCAATTTGCTGTCAACTTGCACTCAACTTGCTGTCAACTTGCAGTCAACTTGCTCTCAAACTGCCGCAGACGGAGGTGAGCGGCAAGAGGCATGCAGAATTAGTCGCAAGGCTGGGGGACATGCTACCACCACACATGGCAGTACACGTTGTGCAGGGAAGAGAGGCGTGGGTTACACGTTGTGCAGTGGAAGGAGGGGGGTGTGGTACAGGGATTGAAGGGCAGAGAGTGCAGTGATGTCACCGAGCAGCGGGCCTGAGAGGCCCGTCTTTGCCATGCTCCTGTGGAGGTGGGGGGACGTAGCGTGGGGGGTGGGGGGAGTGGGGAGTGGGGAGGGAAGAAGGGGGAAGGGGATGGCGTAACGTGGGGTGGGATGGTGTGCGATGCGATGGCATGGGCTGTTATGGGATGGGATGGAATGGGATGGGATGGGATGGGATGGGATGGGACGGGATGGGATGGGATGGGATGGGATGGGATGGGATGGGATGGGATGGGATGGGATGGGATGAGATGGGATGGGATGGGATGGGATGGGATGGCATGGTGGGGCATGGCATGGCATGGGATGGCATGGCATGGCATGGCATGGGATGGGATGTTAAGGAATGAGTCGAGCACCGAAATATTTGGAGCGGGTGGAAAGAGGAGAGGGTGGAGAGAGGAGAGGGTGGAAAGAGGAGAGGCTTACAGGGTTGCGAGAGCGGTGAGGTGGGTGAAGGGTTGTGGCAGCGGGCCGTGAAAGTCGTTAAAACTCATCTGACTGCACGGACGCACGCAGACAGGGGGCGGTGCGAGCAGATATGGAAGACGTTGTGGTATTGGTGAACGCGAGAGGGAGGACAGAGGGCGATGGGGGAGGACAGAGGGCGATGGGGAAACTAAGGGAGTGGTGGTGGGGGAATTTATGAGGTGCCTCAAACGAATTCCAGACGATGGCTGAAAGCTGGAGGAGGGGTACGGGGGCGGGAGAGAGGGACGAGAGGGAAGTAGATGGCATGGGAGGGAAGGGAAGGAAGTGGCATGGGAGGGAAGGGAAGGAAGTGGCATGGGAGGGAAGGGAAGGAAGTGGCATGGGAGGGAAGGGAAGGAAGTGGCATGGGAGGGAAGGGAAGGAAGTGGCATGGGAGGGGCAGGTCACCTGAAAGGAAGATGGACAGAAAAGGTGAGGGCAGGAGGGCATGGGAAGGCAGGAAAGAGCAAGAGAGGCGGAGAAGCAGTGCGAATGGAAGCGGGGTTGCAAGGAGGGATTGAGAGGCGAGGGCAGTGAGAGGCGAGGGCAGTGAGAGGCGAGGGCAGGGGACAGACAGATGCGACAGTCGGTGCAGGCGCGAGACAGTGCATGGAACGGGGCCCGTGAAGCTGTTGCTGTACAGCTCCCTGGTGGGTGGGCGTGGGGGCAGGGGGTTTGGGGGGTGGGGGGGGGGGAGATTGTGGAGCAAATGCGAATGTGGAGCAGAGGTAGGCGGTGAGAGGAAGGTGAAGAGGGGAAGGTGGAGAGGAGAAGGTGAAGAGGGGAAGGTGGAGAGGGGAAGGTGGAGAGGGGAAGGTGGAGAGGGGAAGGTGGAGAGGGGAAGGTGGAGAGGGGAAGGTGGAGAGGGGGTGGAGAGGGGAAGGTGGAGAGGGGAAGGTGGAGAGAGTGTATCGGTGATAGATTGGTGGGGACGAGTCGGAAAGAGGAGCAGAAGGGAGGAAAAGGAAGAGCAGAAGGGCACAGAGGAGGAGGAGGAGGAGGAGGAGGAGGAGGAGGAGGAGGAGGAGGAGGAGGAGGAGGAGGAGGAGGAGGAGGAGGAGGAGGAGGAGGAGGAGGTGAAGGAGGTCGATGAGGACAGTAGGGAGCAGGCAGAGCAAGGTATGGGTGAGCCCCGTGGACGAGCAGTGCGATGGGTGAGTGGAAAGGTAGATCAAGATCGTGGTGGGTGGTTACAGGTCGATGAGCGATTGCATGCTTGCAATGATGGTGAAGACCGGACCCGTGAGGTTGTTGTCGCTCAGCCTCCTGCATGCACACATGCACACGCAGGCACACACGCACGCACGCGCGCGCACACACACACACACACACACATGCACACACACACACACACACACACACACACACACACACACACACACACATACACACACACACACACATCCTGGTGTCTCAAGCAAGCAGCCGTCGTGGTTCCTCAACCACCATATGCCTGCCATGTGAACATGCATTAGGCAGTGCGCCTCCCACGGGGTGCCCCTGAGTGCGCCCCTCGGCGCATCTCACAGGGTGTGCAGGCGGAGGGCGGAGAGGGCGGGGGCCACAGGGCCGGAGAGACTGTTGGACTGCAGATCCCTGCCACCACCGGGGGGGGGAATTGAGAAGGGCGGTGGATGGGAAGGGAAGGGGAAGGGCAAGAGGGAAGGAGGAATGTGATGTGATGTGATGTGATGTGATGTGATGTGATGTGATGTGATGTGATGTGATGTGATGTGATGTGATGTGATGTGATGTGATGTGATGTGATGTGATGTGATGTGATGTGATGTGATGGGTGGGGAGAGAGCAAGTGAGAGGGCAGGAAGCGGCAGGCGAGGCGGTTCACAAGCCCCAGGCTGGCCCCTGGCGACTCATGTGCGTGACTCACCGTGAGTGTTCGACTCGCAGCGAGTGTGCGACTCACAGCAATTGCAGGTGGGAGAGCGCGGTGAGGGCGAGGGGGATGGAGCCGGTGAGTTCCTTTGAATTCAGGTGCCTGCCCAAGAGGAGTGATAGGGAGGTTAAGGAGGAAGCTCAGACAGGCAGCGCGGGATCAATGATGCGGGTGGCGCAATGGAGGGGTGCGATGGATGAATGAAGCATGCGTGCGCGGTGAGAGTGCCGTGGTCTGCTTCAAGCTCACAAGCCATGTATGTGGTCCAGCACCAGCAGCACTGGGCGGCAACAGCAGCAGCACTGGGCGGCAGAAGCAGCAGCACGGGGCGGCAGCACTGCGTGGCACTCAAAGGCACCCATGCGCTCCCTCGCCCCTTCGCCCGTGCGCATCTGCAATGCCCCGCTGCTCCCCTCATCGCACCCCGCGCTCTTCCCCGCGCCCTCGCGCCATATCCTGTCCGCTGCTTCCATCATCGCCCACGCGCCCCCCACGCGCTTCCCCCTGTGCTTCCGCAAGAGCTCCCCCCGCGCGCTACCATCGCTTAGGGCACTGACAGCTGTGTGACCATGCCGTTCTCGTCGCACGTGATCGTCTCCGCCGGCGCGCACTCCGCGCCTTGCGCCCACCCCGCCGCGCTCATCCCCCACTCCGCCGCGCACTCCCTCAGTGCCGCCGCTGCGCGCCCATTGCGGGGAGGTCGAGGGCGGAAAGGCGATGCGGACAGCAGGAATACGGGGTTTGAGAGGAGGAGAGGGAGAGGGAGAGGGAGAGGGAGGGGGAGGAGGAGAGAAAACTACGTACGCGAGGATGACAGCAGGGTATGATAGGACGGAGGTTCCGTCTCTTGAAGAAAGGTCTTTAATGCAAGAGAAAAGTTCGCGAAGAATGCGAGGCTTGGTGAACGAAAGACAAGCAGGAAGGCTCCATGTCAAAACGGTGCTGCGGTGGACCCAGCTACGACGGACGGCTGAATCGGATTGGCGCTTAGGCACAGTTAGAGCCTGTTCATGCGATATCGCATATGAGGGCTTAGCTTTGAAGAATATGACGTATATGTCATGGACGTTAGAAGTCGCCCCTAAAGCAGGTTTCGTCACGCGGCAAAGCGCGCATTGGGAGTCGGCGAGTAATTTCATCACCAACGGACTGAACGAGGCGCTCCTAAGCTTGCTGTGATTCGAGCCCTAAAAAATCTACGCGCATAGCGCACCTTGGGAGTCGGCGAGGGTCACGGGCTGGACGCCACGTGGCAGGAGAGCGACGACGACCGCCGCTAGACATGGAAGGACAGCTGTGAGGATCGGCGAGCTAGTCGCCCTTGCACGGGCCATGGCGTCGACGCAGCGGAGGCATGACCACTTCCTGAGAAATGCTAGTGCTGCAATATAAGGGCGTGTAACATTGCGATGACCAAACCCAAAATCCGACCATTTGGTCATGTTGGCCGATATGCGAGGGAAGTGGTAACAAACACCTGGGGCGTCCTCTGTAGATTTTCAATGACCGTGGTCGATTTAGGGGCACCCATCCTTAACTACCCCCGTATTAAGAATTTATAGGTCTAATCCAAAATTCTGCATTCGAACGGGGTGTGAATTATACGAGGCACGAGGAGGTGGTAGTGTTTAGCAACCTCATAGGCCTTCGCGAGACAAATTCGGGGACTACCACGTAATAATGCTACCTGTGGGTGTTCCCCAAATTTTATTCTGCGGGCGACTATCACGGCGGGGATGTTTTCGTGACCAAACTGGTCGCATGTACGGTCGCTTGGTTTGGGCGTTTGCTGAATCGGTCGTTATCGTGGTCATTTGGCGGGAAAATCTCGCATCCCTCGCCATCGTGTTACTCTTTTCGCTTTCGCACGCTCCAACCAAATGGTCGGATTTTGGGTTTGGTCATCGCAATGTTACACGCCCTTAGTGGTGACTCGACGCAAGCCGTGGTGCAGTGCGGTGGATAGTCGTGCCGAATTCGGTGCGCGACTTTACGTGCCGCCTTAGGAACACCTGTCTTGAATGGGATGGGCTCGCGACCTTGACGAAGCGAGTAACCGTGCTCGCAGCTCAATGCGTGAACTTGTGGTTTCGCATCACATGCTTTTACGTATCGGGTTCTGTTTTTGTTGAAAAGTGTCTCATACGCGATAACAGATCAGCACCTCATCAAAGAAAACCGCGGGAAAACCCGGTGTCAGATGTCAGAGAAATTGAATTGCCCAGCAATTCGTCCAATCAACCAACAATGGAAGCAGGACTTCCACAACCGTGTCGCTTTTCACATGTGAGAAGGTCGACCACGGTTGAAAGTCAACTATGCTCGGTTGAGAATGGTCACATGTAACTGCTGAACTCCGTTTGTTCCTCGATTCCAAGGTTGTCGCTAGTTCACACCATGAGCAAAAACACTAATCGCTGCTTTTGTTTCTACCCTTGCATTAGCTCCCTAAACTCAACTACCTTTTTCCAACAGCCTTCTTGGCCTTTCTGTTACATTTCTTGCGCCTCGCGCGTGTCTTTTCACACAGTCACGAGCCGCCATGGTCGCGGAGACGTCGGACCTCCCTCAACCCTTTTCTTCTCTCGCCTTGAGTAGCGGTGCGCTCATTCGCACCGTTCAGGCCGACAACGCGACGGAAGACGATGCAGGGCGAGAGAGCGGCGAGGTATCAGGTGTGCCAGTGGAGGTGCTGTCGTCGGTGCTGAAGATGCTGCCGTCGCTTGACGACCTCGCCACCGCCGCGAGGGTGAATAGGTGCGCTCCCAGTGAGAACTAGAGGCCTTACCTCCACCTTTCCGCTCTCCGTGCTGCTTTTTGCCCCCTCCGCTTTTTCTCCGCTCTCCCATCTTGTTGCGCCATTCTTCCGCGTGCTGTTCCGCTCTGACCAGTGTCTCCGCGTTCGTGTTCTCTCCGCAGGGCATGGCGCATCTCCGCGCTCTCCCCCTCGCAGTTACGCGCGTGCGCGATCGACGACGACCGCCCCACCGCGCCCTCCGCGCACAGCCGCGTGCTCGCGCACTCCCGCGCGCCTATGCCGCCTAAACCGCTTCCCCCGGAGCTCTGGCTCAATCCCGCCGCCTTCTCCCTTTCCTCCACTTGCGCACGCCGCAAAGCCTCCGCCGAACGGTAATTAAAATCCCTGCCGCCGTGATAGCACCCGCGGGCGCGGGTAATCCTGGGGAAAGCTTCCTTTCTAGCCAGCCCAGTTCCGAGCCGCTCGGTGGCACGGCGCCCGCGACGCCGGAAGCCATGGTCACCAGCAGGCAGGCGGACGGCGTGGAGTGGCGGGACGGGTGCGCGCATGGCGCGGGAGGAGGGGCATGGTCGTCGCCGCGCACGCCGTCGCCAGTTGCGGCGAGGGAGGGCGAGCTGAAGGCGTTCGACGAGGAGGTCACGCGCGCCGTGACTCACGGCAGGTACTTCAAATGTGCTTCGTGCGTTTTCGGCTGGCAGTCTCGCCTTAATATGAACGCAGTGAAGGCCAGATGCTCAACGAATCACGGTTCCCCCCTTTCCGTTTCAGGTTCTTGGGTGACGTGGACCTGCGCTCCCCGCGAATCACGGACGACACGCTACAGTGAGTGACGTAGTGCGACAGGGGCAGGGGGAAGAAGAGGTGTGGGGAAGAGCGTAACGGGACAGGAGTGAGGCGGTGTGCTGGAGATGTCTTACCTTTATTACTTCACTCGCTTCCCTCCTCCTTCCTCTTCTTCCCCGCTCATTCCCTCTGCTGTCTTTCCTTCCCCATTTTGCCCCACACAGGCGGGTCCTGCGTGCGTGTCCGCGCCTGCAGGCGTTACGCGTGCAGCACGTGTGCATGGGCGCAACCTTCAACGGCTCCCCGCCGCCCTTCCACAGCCTCCTTTCCCCCACCTCCCCCTACCACCTCCCCTTCTCCACCTCCCCCTCCCCCTCCCCATCTCCCTCGTCGGAGTCTCCCCAACGCGCCTCATTGCCTTCCCCCATTGCCTCCTCCGCTCCACGCGGCTCTCCTCCTTCCCCCCATTGCGTATCCTCCCCCAGCACTCCTCCTCCTCCTCCTCCTCCTCCTACCCCAGCCCCCCATTGCGCATCCTCCTCCTCCTCAATGGCACCCCCCAACTCGCCCTTGCCCCAGCCCTCCTCCCCCTCTCCCATACCACCCGTTTCCTCCCCCCTCCCGGGCGCCTCTCTGCCTCCTCGCTCCGCACATTCCCCCGCCGTCCCGCCTCCCCCCCCGCCCTACCCATGCGGGTGCCTGCCCCTGTCCGCGCGTGGGCTGGCGGGCATTGGCGCGCTGTGCCCTGCCATCAAGGCGCTCACCCTCACGCTGCAGGTAGGGGGTGGGTGGGGGGGTATGCGCATTCATGGGGAACGTGTGTACCCAGAGCGGGATGTCTGGAATTGGGAGGGCATGCGCGCAGGGAATAGGGAAAGAGAGGCAAGGGGAAGTGGAGACGGTTCGAAGGTGTGTTAAGTGCGTTATAGGCAGTGCATGTGAACCACGTGACTACCCTCGGAACGAATCTCACTCACTCATCATGGCTGTCTCACCTCCATCTTCCACCTTCTCTGCTCCTCTTTTCTCCTTTCCGCCCATCCCCACCCCATCTCGTCCCCTTGCTCCCCGTTGGCAGCACGTGGTGTTCGCATGCGACCTGCCAGCCATGATGGCGTGCATAGGCGCGCTGCCACGCCTCGCCATGCTCGTCGTCGACCTGCACATGCCGTCAGTCCCACATACCTCATGCCTCATGCCTCATGCCTCATGCCTCATGCGTCATGCGTCATGCCTCATGCCACATGCCTCATGCCTCATGCCTCATGCCTCATGCCTCATGCCTCATGCCACATGCCACATGCCTCATGCTTCATGCCTCATGCCTCATGCCTCATGCCTCATGCCTCATGCGTCATGCGTCATGCCTCATGCCTCATGCCTCATGCCACATGCCACATGCCTCATGCCTCATGCCTCATGCCTCATGCTCCATGCCTCATGCCTCATGCCTCATGCCTCATGCCTCATGCCTCATGCCTCATGCCTCATGCCTCATGCCTCATGCCTCATGCCTCATGCCTCATGCCTCATGCCTCATGCCTCATGCCTCATGCCACATGCCACATGCCACATGCCTCATGCCTCATGCCTCATGCCTCATGCCTCATGCCTCATGCCTCATGCGTCATGCGTCATGCGTCATGCCTCATGCCTCATGCCTCATGCCTCATGCCTCATGCCACATGCCACATGCCTCATGCCTCATGCCTCATGCCTCATGCCTCATGCCTCATGCCTCATGCCTCATGCCTCATGCCTCATGCCTCATGCCTCATGCCTCATGCCTCATGCCTCATGCCTCATGCCTCATGCCTCATGCCTCATGCCTCATGCCTCATGCCTCATGCCTCATGCCTCATGCCTCATGCGTCATGCGTCATGCCTCATGCCTCATGCCACATGCCACATGCCTCATGCTTCATGCCTCATGCCTCATGCCTCATGCCTCATGCCTCTTGCGTCATGCGTCATGTCTCATGCCTCATGCCTCATGCCTCATGCCTCATGCCTCATGCCTCATGCCTCATGCCTCCTGCCACATGCCACATGCCTCATGCCTCATGCCTCATGCCTCATGCCTCATGCCTCATGCCTCATGCCTCATGCCTCCTGCCTCCTGCCTCCTGCCTCCTGCCTCCTGCCTCCTGCCTCCTGCCTCCTGCCTCATGCCTCATGCCTCATGCCTCATGCCTCATGCCTCATGCCTCATGCCTCATGCCTCATGCCTCATGCGTCATGCATCATGCCTCATGCCTCATGCCTCATGCCTCATGCCTCATGCCTCATGCCTCATGCCTCATGCCTCATGCCTCATGCCTCATGCCTCATGCCACATGCCACATGCCTCATGCTTCATGCGTCATGCCTCATGCCTCATGCCTCATGCCTCATGCGTCATGCGTGATGCCTCAAGCCTCATGCCTCATGCCTCATGCGTCATGCCTCATGCCTCGTGCGTCATGCCTCATGCCTCATGCCACATGCCTCATGCCTCATGCCTCATGCCTCATGCCACATGCCACATGCCTCATGCTTCATGCCTCATGCCTCATGCCTCATGCCTCATGCCTCATGCCTCATGCCTCATGCGTCATGCGTCATGCCTCATGCCTCATGCCTCATGCCTCATGCCTCATGCCTCATGCCTCATGCCTCATGCCACATGCCACATGCCTCATGCCTCATGCCTCATGCCTCATGCGTCATGCGTCATGCCTCATGCCTCCTGCCTCATGCCTGATGCCTCATGCCTCCTGCCTCCTGCCTCATGCCTCATGCCTCATGCCTCATGCCTCATGCCTCATGCCTCATGCCTCATGCCTCATGCCTCATGCCTCATGCCTCATGCCTCATGCCTCATGCCTCATGCCTCATGCCTCATGCCACATGCCACATGCCTCATGCCTCATGCCTCATGCCTCATGCTCCATGCCTCATGCCTCATGCCTCATGCCTCATGCCTCATGCCTCATGCCTCATGCCTCATGCCTCATGCCTCATGCCTCATGCCTCATGCCACATGCCACATGCCTCATGCTTCATGCCTCATGCCTCATGCCTCATGCCTCATGCCTCATGCCTCATGCCTCATGCCTCATGCCTCATGCCTCATGCGTCATGCGTCATGCCGCATGCCTCATGCCTCATGCCACATGCCACATGCCTCATGCCTCATGCCTCATGCCTCATGCCTCATGCCTCATGCCTCATGCCTCATGCCTCATGCCTCATGCCTCATGCCTCATGCCTCATGCCTCATGCCTCATGCCTCATGCCTCATGCCTCATGCCTCATGCCTCATGCCTCATGCCTCATGCCTCATGCCTCATGCCTCATGCCTCATGCCTCATGCCTCATGCCACATGCCACATGCCTCATGCTTCATGCCTCATGCCTCATGCCTCATGCCTCATGCCTCTTGCGTCATGCGTCATGTCTCATGCCTCATGCCTCATGCCTCATGCCTCATGCCTCATGCCTCATGCCTCATGCCTCCTGCCACATGCCACATGCCTCATGCCTCATGCCTCATGCCTCATGCCTCATGCCTCATGCCTCATGCCTCATGCCTCATGCCTCCTGCCTCCTGCCTCCTGCCTCCTGCCTCCTGCCTCCTGCCTCCTGCCTCCTGCCTCCTGCCTCCTGCCTCATGCCTCATGCCTCATGCCACATGCCACATGCCATATGCCACATGCCACATGCCTCATGCCTCATGCCTCATGCCTCATGCCTCATGCCTCATGCCTCATGCCTCATGCCTCATGCCTCATGCCTCATGCCACATGCCACATGCCTCATGCCTCATGCCTGATGCCTCATGCCACATGCCTCATGCCTCATGCCACATGCCTCATGCCTCATGCCTCATGCCTCATGCCTCATGCCTCATGCCTCATGCCTCATGCCTCATGCCTCATGCCTCATGCCTCATGCCTCATGCCTCATGCCTCATGCCTCATGCCTCATGCCTCATGCGTCATGCGTCATGCATCATGCCTCATGCCTCATGCCTCATGCCTCATGCCTCATGCCTCATGCCTCATGCCTCATGCCTCATGCCTCATGCCTCATGCCTCATGCCACATGCCACATGCCTCATGCTTCATGCGTCATGCCTCATGCCTCATGCCTCATGCCTCATGCGTCATGCGTGATGCCTCAAGCCTCATGCCTCATGCCTCATGCGTCATGCCTCATGCCTCGTGCGTCATGCCTCATGCCTCATGCCACATGCCTCATGCCTCATGCCTCATGCCTCATGCCACATGCCACATGCCTCATGCTTCATGCCTCATGCCTCATGCCTCATGCCTCATGCCTCATGCCTCATGCCTCATGCGTCATGCGTCATGCGTCATGCCTCATGCCTCATGCCTCATGCCTCATGCCTCATGCCTCATGCCTCATGCCTCATGCCACATGCCACATGCCTCATGCCTCATGCCTCATGCCTCATGCGTCATGCGTCATGCCTCATGCCTCCTGCCTCATGCCTGATGCCTCATGCCTCCTGCCTCCTGCCTCATGCCTCATGCCTCATGCCTCATGCCTCATGCCTCATGCCTCATGCCTCATGCCTCATGCCTCATGCCTCATGCCTCATGCCTCATGCCTCATGCCTCATGCCTCATGCCTCATGCCTCATGCCACATGCCACATGCCTCATGCCTCATGCCTCATGCTCCATGCCTCATGCCTCATGCCTCATGCCTCATGCCTCATGCCTCATGCCTCATGCCTCATGCCTCATGCCTCATGCCTCATGCCTCATGCCTCATGCCACATGCCACATGCCTCATGCTTCATGCCTCATGCCTCATGCCTCATGCCTCATGCCTCATGCCTCATGCCTCATGCCTCATGCCTCATGCGTCATGCGTCATGCCTCATGCCTCATGCCTCCTGCCACATGCCACATGCCTCATGCCTCATGCCTCATGCCTCATGCTCCATGCCTCATGCCTCATGCCTCATGCCTCATGCCTCATGCCTCATGCCTCATGCCTCATGCCTCATGCCTCATGCCTCATGCCTCATGCCTCATGCGTCATGCGTGATGCCTCAAGCCTCATGCCTCATGCCTCATGCGTCATGCCTCATGCCTCGTGCGTCATGCCTCATGCCTCATGCCACATGCCTCATGCCTCATGCCTCATGCCTCATGCCTCATGCCTCATGCCTCATGCCTCATGCCTCATGCCTCATGCCTCATGCCTCATGCCTCATGCCTCATGCCTCATGCCTCATGCCTCATGCCACATGCCACATGCCTCATGCCTCATGCCTCATGCCTCATGCTCCATGCCTCATGCCTCATGCCTCATGCCTCATGCCTCATGCCTCATGCCTCATGCCTCATGCCTCATGCCTCATGCCTCATGCCTCATGCCACATGCCACATGCCTCATGCTTCATGCCTCATGCCTCATGCCTCATGCCTCATGCCTCATGCCTCATGCCTCATGCCTCATGCCTCATGCCTCATGCGTCATGCGTCATGCCGCATGCCTCATGCCTCATGCCACATGCCACATGCCTCATGCCTCATGCCTCATGCCTCATGCCTCATGCCTCATGCCTCATGCCTCATGCCTCATGCCTCATGCCTCATGCCTCATGCCTCATGCCTCATGCCTCATGCCTCATGCCTCATGCCTCATGCCTCATGCCTCATGCCTCATGCCTCATGCCTCATGCGTCATGCGTCATGCCTCATGCCTCATGCCACATGCCACATGCCTCATGCTTCATGCCTCATGCCTCATGCCTCATGCCTCATGCCTCTTGCGTCATGCGTCATGTCTCATGCCTCATGCCTCATGCCTCATGCCTCATGCCTCATGCCTCATGCCTCATGCCTCCTGCCACATGCCACATGCCTCATGCCTCATGCCTCATGCCTCATGCCTCATGCCTCATGCCTCATGCCTCATGCCTCCCTCCTGCCTCCCTGCCTCCCTCATGCCTCATGCCTCATGCCTCATGCCTCATGCCTCATGCCTCATGCCTCATGCCTCATGCCTCATGCCTCATGCCTCATGCCACATGCCACATGCCATATGCCACATGCCACATGCCTCATGCCTCATGCCTCATGCCTCATGCCTCATGCCTCATGCCTCATGCCTCATGCCTCATGCCTCATGCCTCATGCCACATGCCACATG